AGACCCCTTCTTGATATAACTAACAAGAATCAAGGGGTGGAGATAGAGCAAAGAGAGCATGGAAAAACAAAAAACTGATCATTGAGCTGAAAAAGGTGTTAGTAGAGAAGGAAAGCAAACGTAAAGAATTGACTATCAAAGAGAAAAAGAAGGAGTCCATGGATGGGAAGGGTATAGGGAATTCAAGAAAGTTGGCAATAGGACAAGAAAGAGGAAAAGTAAAGAGGAATGGTATGGGAAATGGGAAAGAGAAAGAAACATTGGGCTAGGAAGGAGAGAAAAAGATAGATCAAAAGGTGAAAGATATTGGCCCGACACGATCCAAAGGACCACAAGAGTTAAGAGGGGAAACATAAAAAATGGGCCTTACAGAAACAAGAAGCTTGGATTTGGATAAACCCAAAAAATGACAAGCAGAATTGAGCAGAATGGACTAGAACAAACTAACCCAGACGTGGTGGGTATGGACCTGGAGGAAGGTAACCCACCAGATCCAGGAGAGCACAATGACTTATTAGGCTTGTCTGAAATAGAACGCTGAATGTAAATGTAAGTGTGGAGGAGCAAAAGAGCTCGTGCATGTAAATGTAAGTGATGTGCCTTGTATTTGAATCACCCTTTTAGTGTTATTTAATTATAGTTGTATGGAATGTGAGAGGTGCTGTCGGAAAGTCATTTAATAATGCCTTAAGAGACTTGGTTAAGAGGATGAAGCCTTTTTTGGTAGTTTTGGTGGAAACAAAGTGTAGTAGAGAAACTACTCAGCAAGATAGTTGAGGCACAAGGAATGTATAGGGGTATTTGGATATTATGGAATGAAAGCAACATTAAGTTTAATTGCTTGGAAAGTGGTAAGTAATTCCTACATGATGTGGTTTCTGGGCTGAGTTAAAAAGAGTCTTTACTGCAATTTACGCAAGCCCAAGGGAGTCTGAAAGAGGGGAACTCTGGGATAAGCTGGAAAAAATATCGAACGGAATGAAAGGCCCTTGGCTTATTGCAGGAGACTTTAATGACACTAAAGAGCCAGGAGAGCAGAGAGGTGGAGGTAAACCTAGTATAAAGAAATGCAGAAGGTTCTCAAATAACATTACTAAACAGATTGATTGACCTAGGCACCAAAGGACCTCAATATACTTGGTCTTGGAGAGGTCCAAGGATCAGCGCAGCTGGAAGACTCTTCAAAAAGCTCGATAGAGCCATGTGTAACGAAGAATGGACAAACGAATTCAACAAAGCCTTTGCGAGAGTGGGCCTGTGAGTGGAATCTGATCACCACCCTTTATTCTACCAATAGTCCAAAAGGAAATGCGTACAAAAGACCATTTTGTTTTGAAGCAATGTGGTTGAAACATGAAAACTTCCAACAAGCTTTGAGGCAAAGCTGGATGGGATCAAGTGAAGCCCATCATGATATGGTGGAACTAACAGAAGTCCTAAAGGAATGGAATTGGAATGTGTTTGGTCATGTTACAAAAAAGAAAAAAGCTTTGATGAGAAGACTGGATGGAGTACAGAAAGCTAACAATGAGAAAGACTTTATAAAACTAGAAGACCTTGAATGAAACTTATAAAAGGAACTAACGGAGATACTCCAATAGGAAGAATTATTTTGGTTCCCAAAGGCTAGAACTACTTGGCTTAATGATGGAGCCAAGAACACCTCCTACTATCATGCAAAAACTAATGTTAGAAGAAGGAAGAATAGAGTTTCAAGTCTAAAAAATAGGAAGAGTGAAAGGATCGAAGGGAAAAAGGAAACGGGACTGATAGTGAACACGTACTTTCAGCACCTATTTTGAGAGGATATCACCAACAAAAAGTGGTCTCAGATTGTGCATAGATGGCCAGAATTAAAAAAATGAATAATGGGAGTCTGTTAAGGAGTTACTAATGAAGAAATTAAGGAAGCCATGTTTTCAATAGGAGGTCTTGAGGCACTTGGAGCAGATGGATTCCTAGTAATTTTTTTCCAACACAGTTGGAAAATTGTGGGGGAAGGAGTGTGTAATACAGTGAGGAAGATGTGGGAAGCCCCGAAAGCACTGAAGGAAATAAATGCAACGCTATCACTCTGATTCTTAAAGTGGACAATCCAGAGAGAGTATCACAATTCAAACCCGTCTCTCTTTGCAACGTGATTTACAAGTGTGTAACCAAGATCTTGGTGAGAAGACTGAAGAAAATTCTTCCCGAAATTGTGTCCCCTTTCTAAGTCAGTTTTGTACTGAGAAGAAACATCCATGACAACATCATAATTATTAATGAAATGATTTAGTCTATATGAAGAAAGAAGGGAAGAAGGGGATTCATAGTGAGCAAGGTAGACCTAGAGAAGGCCTATAATCGAATAAGCTGGAATTTTATAGAGAAAATCTTGACTGAAATAAAGTGCCCAGAACAAACAAAAAACAAAATATGGAATGCATACAGATGTCCTCAGCAAACATTCTTTGGCAAGGTGAAAGGTTGGAAGGTTTCAATACCTCTAGAGGGATTACACAAGGGGACCCTATTCCCCATATCTCTTTATGCTCGGAATGGAAAAGCTCACCCATATGATACTTGATAGAGTGAGAGTGAAACAATGGAGAGGAATGAGAGCTGGTCGAAAGGGACCAATCATACCCCATATGATGTTTAATGACATCTTGTTCTTTTTGCAGAGGCAAAACCCAAACAAATAGAAGTTATCGCTCAATGCCTGTAGGAGTTCGGTGATATTTCAGGACACAAGGTGAGCCAAGAGAAGACTTACATATATTTTTCTACTAATGTGAAGCAACACACTAGGAGAGAAATATGTTAGAGAAGCAAGTTTAAGTAGGTGGAGGAGGTAGGGAGGTATCTAGGAGCAAACATTTCCTACCCAAGGAGACATCGGGAGAAATTTAGAACCTTAACAGATAAAATCCAGAGGAGATTGGATGGATGAAAAGCCTCTAGTCTTTCCTTTGCAAGACAAATCACGTTGGTCAAATCAGTAAAAAGCTCTACGATTAACTATCAAAAGCAACACGATAGGATTCCCAACTCGATCATTGAAGAGGTGGAAAAGAGCTAAAGAAGCTTTATATGGGGAGAAGAAGAGATGGAACGTAAATGTCACGCAGTGAACTAGACGACACTTTGTGAAGCAAGGGTGAAAGGAGGGATGGGGGATAAAATCCCTGGAAGCTATGAATGATGCTTTTATTTTGAAGCTGCTGTGGAGATTCCATAAGGAACCATAGGCACTCTGGGTACAGGTTCTCTAATGAAAATATGGAAGAGACAGGAGTATGGGGGAACAATTAATAGTAAAAATTCAAATTCAACACTATGGAAGGAAATGGGCAAGAAGTGGGAACTGTTCATAGAAAATATAGAGTTCAAAGTAACACGAAGTCAACAAGTGGAGGAGGAATGCAAATAGAAACTGACAAGTAATGGGAAATTTTCAATAGCTAATGCTTATGAATGGTTAAAAGGCATAGGGTCGAATCCTGGGAGAAACCAATGGAGCCATATATGGAAACTAAAGGTACCAGAGAGAGTGAGAATTTTTATGTGGCGAGTCTTCCATAAAAGAATACCAATAAAAGAGGTTACAACCAAGTGGGATGGGGGGCAAGAGTGGTGTCCTGTTTGCAATAGGGAGATAGAGACTACTTTGCATGCATTAAAGGACTGCCCTTATGCACCCTTTATTTGGAGACTATTAGTGCCGATCCAAGGAAGAATCAACTTCTTCAGGAGTGATTGGAAGGAATGGATGAAACAAAACATCCACAAAGGAGAAGTTCATTGAGAAGATATTATGGGCTGAGTTATTTGTAGTGGGATGCTGGCAAATCTGGAAATGGAGAAACTAATGGGGTTCACAGTCAAAACTTCGAGTTGCCCATCAAGCTGAAAAAGGTGATCAAAGACTACCTAGAGAATTATCATCACAGATAGGGAGATGGGTTAGGGGGAAAAAAGGAAAAGATTGACAAGGTAGTAAAATGGAGTAAACCAAAAATAGGATGGTGTAAACTAAACACAGATAGTATTGGCATTGTAAATGGAGTCAATATATGTGGTGGAGTAATCAGGGGAGACTGTGGTGAATGGCTAGGTGGCTTCTCCTTAAGACTACCAGAATGCAGTGTCAGTGAGGCAGAAGCAAGAGGCATATTGGAATGGCTGGAAGTTTGCTGGCAGATGGGGTTCAGAAAAATCGAAGTGGAATGTGATGCAGAAATGGTTGTGGAGGCAATCAAGAAGAATAGAAGAAATATTGAGGGGGAACAACTACACCTTTGCTAAAATCCAGGAAATGCTACGATTAGAGCGGTAAATTCAAATAGCCTATATATACCATGAGGGTAATAGATGTGCTAATAAAATGGCCTTGATGAGTTTGAATCAGGACGAAATAAAGATGAGTTGGCAATCTCCCCCAGATGAAATGCCCCAGACATTGAAAGAAGACCTCGATGGTTTATATGTTGTCCGGGTAAATTGTAATGGTCGTTAGTCGTGTTTTGTTTTTCATCGTTCACCAAAAAAAAAAAGATATTTACCTCAGAACCATTTAAAAAGTCTGTACAGCCTCCCCTCATTATCATAAGGTAGATTTGATTATCTCCAGGCAGCTTTTCCAAATCGTCAGAATTTTCAAAAAATTCTAGTTATTTTCAAAAAACTAAAGAAACGTTAAATCTTAGCAAAAGTATTTTCCCCCCACAAAAACAAGTGCTTTTTTAACGGGAAAAAAGGTTTAAACAAACCAGCCCTAAAGTTGAGTAATGAGTATTGTTGATACCAAATTGTGGAAGATTAATGTCAAATCTCACGTTAAATTCTAAGAAAATCAGTGTTAAATTCTAAGAAAATATGTTGTTGGTCTGTGTGGGCAGTAAATATGAAACTCCCACAATACTAAATATAAGACTCATTTTGTACCATTCGTCTCCCAATCAACATGAAGGATATATGTGTGCGAGCGCAACAGGGAGGAGGGTATTAACCACTCATTTGACCAGCCACTTCTTGAAGCATTTGTATGAAAAGATCGCAATTCTCATTCATGATATTATACAATTCAAAGTAATCCTAATGCCTGCTAAAATGCCAGATTTAGTTTTGAGGGCAGTATTGAAAATCCTCAGTGTCCCTATTAAATGCTGAAATACCATCCATCTCTCTTTGCCCTCAATCTAGAAGGACTATTAATATAACAACACCTTTGAGACAAGGATACCTGCTGAATATACAAAGAATAAGGATGAACTTGCTTATGCAGCTTTCCATGAAGAAAGAGGAGGAGTGTCAGAGTCCTTATATGTAGCTAGTCCAGGTCGAGTTCTTTCGCCCTTGACCGCATCCCCGGCAGCGAAAGATTCAAGTTCTGCCATTTCTTCTGGAGTAAGCTTAACTGACAAAGCCCCGATGTTTTGGTTCAAGTGCTCAATTTTGGTGGTTCCTGGTATGGGGCACACATCATTTCCCTGATGATGAACCCAGGCCAATGCTAGCTGCGACGGAGTGCATCCCTTCCTTTTAGCCATTTCATTAACCCTCTCAAATATAATACTGTTGTGCTTCAAGATTTCTGGATGGAATCTAGGCACAAGCTGAAATGAGGTACAACACATACAAGGATAAGATTATTCCTCAGTATCAATCTATCAATAACAGACATTTCAAGCATCGATGTAGACATTTTCCATCATTTACATCGAAACAAAGTGTCAGGCAGGACAAATTTTAAATCTCAGCCTTAAGAAGGATACTACATGAGTCAAGGCATAAGTCTGTCACAGCATGTTCTGAAATTACATATAGTATATCATAACAGTTCACATCTTTCAGTCCTTTTTTTTTTTTCCCCGTGTTTTTAGATATTTTATCCCTTGCCACAGTTGGGCAAGATTACATAATGGATATGGAAGTGAGTAGATCAGTGTAATATATGCCCCGTTAATAAATATATATTGTCTGTCTACGGAGAACATACGGTAATAATTAGAGTAATCATCCGTGAGGTGTAGAACTAAAATATTGTATTATATGTTATTCACAGTGCACATTAATAACCTCACATGCTGACAATGGGGAAGAAATAAAAGACAGTGAATTTTTTGAAGCAACTCAATTTACAACGTCCTTTCACCCTTCCTCATAAATATAAATATTTTGTGTGCGCGCGCAGGCGTTTTTTTGTTTTTTGTTTTTTTTTTGGGGGGGGGGTGGTTTCTTACTTATTAGTGAAATTTCAAGCAAACGTAAGAACAGTTGTCCATTACTATCACCATTTCAGGTTACAAACTATAATTGTTCCAACTATAGTTCACTATCATCTTGCATCACAAAAAAGGAGAACAAATCAACGATATTCTACTACCTTTAAAGTTATTTACGCACAAAGTTTCATTACTTACAAACTTGAATGTCCTCAGAAGGTCATGACCCGGCCACTTCAATGCAAGAATACCAATGATGCTTTAATGTAAATTCAACTGATTCAGTATAGTTATCCCAAATTTCATTGGTAACCTATCAACATAAATGCCTTGATGAATGGCATTTCATCACATACTGACTCAGTATAGCTATCTCAATTTTATGCGTGCTGGCAACTTTAGATTTGATTTTTATCTACGTGACACCTATTTTCAAGCGGTAAATTTGACTTTAGATTCTTTTTGGCCAAAATTTGACTTTAGATTTGTAAGTCGATAAAAATTTGATGCATCATAAGAGCTTTTATCTATGTGACGCCTATGTTCATCCAACTCTCAACTCCAATCCTACTAAAAATAACCTAGTCAACAACAAAAATGGTACATTGGAATAAGACTGTATGCAGAGACTGAATTTGAAAACATGTTGCCCAAAAAGAAAACATACACAAGGATTCTTTAAGTTAACAAGAGAGCTAAGCTATTTTACAATGTTTCTCTTTTCCAAAAATCATGACATTACTCAAAATTCATCAAGAAAGCTAAGCATGGGAACACCAGTTGTGTCATTCTCTTCACAATTTATCCAGTTTTCTTTTTCCGGCTTCACACAATTTATCCAGTTTATGCATGGTTTTAAACAAAATGATGCTAGGGAATGCAATCGTTGTATTGTATTACTGAAATATGATCATAAAATCCGCAAGAAAGATCACCAAATTCAACCACATTTTACTACTACATCTTGAATGCTTGAACTATAACTGAAATTTTGAGGGACACGAAAGGTTAAGAAAATCCAACAATTTACTGACTTTCACATTGAAGGGCCTTGAAACCATTAGGAGCTAAGCTAGTTTATTATGACAAATGCAACCATAGTGCATAATGCATATTAGAATAAACGCAGACCTTCCGAAAGTCATTCTCCGTAAAGCTCTTAACCACATTTGCTCCTGATCCGAAGAATCCTCGTCCAAGAGGACAATATGCTACAATTCCAATGCCAAGTTCTCTGAAATTTCACAAATGCAAGATCAGAGGTTGCAAAGTTAAAACCTATTTTTTTTTATCAAAAGCACCAATAAAGAGAAAATTAGATACTATTAGATACTATAGGTAGCAACTTTAGTAGTTCAAAACTCACCTGCAAGTTGGAATTATTTCTTCCTCCGCGTCTCTTGTCCATAAGGACCACTCCAACTGCACAGCTGTTATAGGATGAACAGCATGTGCTCTTCTGATTGTTGAATCTGAAGCCTCAGACAAGCCAATGTATTTTATTTTTCCTTCCTCAACAAGTTTTTTGAGTTCTCCAATCTTACAATAAACAATGTAAAAATAAGTTTACAGTTCAATATCATATGCACATAGCTTTTTATATGTTAACAAATCAAAATTTTATAGAACGTCTTACCTTTCATTCTCTAACAGCTATACCATGTACATGTTGAAATGGATGCATATCAGTTACGGACCAATTGTCAGTTCCATTTATCAAAGTTCCATCTCTTTGAAATAAGTCATGGAAGATAAATTGCAGATTCACAAAAGCATTCTTAGTAACAAAGAATCACAGAAATACCTTTACAGAGAAAACTGAAATTCTCGTATAATGAAGTCTATGAAGATAGCAAGTTAACAAAGAGCATATCTTGCACCAAACTCAATGTTTAAGATTAGGTGAGCTTGGTATGTCTGGATTTGATAAGTATCCCTTCCTAGTTCCCATAACCCGTTCCCTGTTAATTCTCTCCCTTGGCCTTTGACCTTCTATGTAACCGAAAAAACAAACATAAAAGAAGATAGTGTGAGGCGAACTGGTCAACTCTTGCCAACAGAAAACGGTACAAATGGAGGGTAGAAAGGAAAAAAAAATCTTGATTATATGAGTCGTTGCAAAAGGAAAAGTGTTCCTTAGCCTTTTTGTCCATCTAGCATAGACAGAATACCTATAACTTAAAGAAAACTGAATATGATGTTTCATTTTTATGAAGCCTAAGACACCACCATATGATCATGCAGCATAAATTTTACAACTTTCGGGGAAAAGATCCAAGATATGAGTGATAAACCGAGGCTATAATACGTAACAAGGGTTCCCAAATCCTGATTAATTTTGTGCCGGAAACATCTCATATTGTTTCTTAGTTCAAAAGGGGGGAAATCTTATAAGAAAAACATCAGAATCACCCCGCTCCAGCATTCTATATGATACTGTATAAATAATAGATCATTGAAGAGTCAAAACAAAGAACGATAGTTCTCAGTCTTCTGCAATGGCACACAGTTCTTACTATATCAAGGATTTTAGGTTTTGCTACACAATATATTTTATACTACTACCACCAGTCTTTAATATAAAAGCCTGTTAGGAATTGAATTTAGTCTTAAATATAAGGCCTCAATTCATTTTGTCTCCCAAATTTGTAATTCATTCTCTAAAGTATCTTTATTAATTACACATATTAAGCAATTTCCATTCAAGGGTCGTAATTAAAAATGGTACTTTAGGAAAATCAACTCATATTTGTTACAAATAACTAATTTAACTAATTTTTTTATCTACTCAAATTTGTTACAAAGCTCTTACATTAAAAACTAGATGAGGTATTCTATACGGCACATTACAAATTAACTCCCTTCGTTTTGGTCTAAGCCTGTTTGCCTCCTCAGGTTTAAAATATCTGATTTCAGCACCCAATATAAATATGTGAAGGTTAAAATGATAATTTATTTTTAGTGTGCAAAAACATTTTCATTATGACTATTACTAAGATTAATTTCTCATTAGTGTCTACTTCAACAGCCTATCTATCTTATAGCCCCATTTTAGTGAAAACACAAGGTGTAGGGGATTCCACATCACCCCCGCCCGGCCCCACTGATAAACAGTAATTAACCCAGATAATAAAAAGAGCATCCAAAGCAGATAAAAGACGAACCGTGACTTCAATAGGCACACGAGTATCAGTACGAATAACATAATAGAGATCAATGCAATCGATCTCCAGTCTCTTCAAGCTGGCCTCACAAGCCGCTCTAACGTATGCAGGATCTCCACGGATGCCAGCCTTGCCGTCCGCAACGTAGAGTCCAAATTTGGAGCCCAATTCAACCTTGTCCCTCAGACCTCCCGTCAAAGCCTGGCCGAAGAAATTGACACCCAATTCGTCAGAATCCCACACAGAATACTTGATTAAACGCGAAGAAGCAACAAAAGGACTGGAATCGAGCATACCTTTCCGAGGAGAATTTCATTCGTGTATAGACCGAAGACATCGGCGGTATCGAGAAATGTGACACCGTTTTGGATGGCGTGGCGGATGACGGCAATCATGTCGGGTTCGGGTTTAGGAGTGTCATGGGCAGGTGACATACCCAGGCAACCAAGTCCCTGGACCGAAACCTCCAAGCCTTGTGAACCCAGCTTGATCCTACCCACTTTTGGAATTCCCATTTCTGTGAACTGAGTCGAGCTTTTGAGCGCACAGCGGCAAGATGGAACGGCTTGAGAGCGAGATGGATCAAACCCACAATCTCCCGCGAGCGGGAGCAACTTGAAACCGCTAGGCCAAAGTGCCATTAGCAGGTCGAGCTTCCACTCTGAATGTGATAAGGCTAACACTTAGCTGAACTTAGAAAGAGAGAATTTTTTTGGATAATCAGTTGAAACAGTAGCGTGAATCTAACAGGCGAGCAACAGACACCATTGCTTCACTGAATCAGAATTCCTCAATATGGCTTGTGTTTTTGGACTGATATAAGTATAGCCTTTTTTTTGCCGACACGTTTATGTCATGCCGAATTGATTTTCGGGGAAAATCATTTTGGGAAATTTCAATAACTCTACTAAACAATTAATATCAATCAACCCCAAAAAAATTTTAAATTTTACTGCATTCCTAGTAATCAAAATTTTATTATTAATAAGACAAAAATACTCTTATTTTAATTTTTGGGATTATAAATTTTCTTATATTTTTGACAAACTGCTGAATTTGACTTGTCTATTCATATTAAAACAATTGTATTTGTGAATTGTGAATTCTCTTATATTTTTTACAAATTGTTCAATTTATGTTGCAAATTATTGAATTTCTATTGTGAATTGCTAAATTTGAGTTATTTATTTATGTCAAAATAATTACATTTGGAGTTGTGGTGTAAATTTTTTAATATTTTGTAAATCATTAGATTTAGATTACAAATTATCAAATGTTTGTTGCGAATGGTCAAATTTAAACTGTTCATTTACCCATAAAATTTAGAAGGATCAGCAACTTGAATTTGACAGTTTGTAAGAATGGTTTTTAAGAAATAAAATACGAGTATTTTTATCTTTTCACTGATGAAACTTCGGTCCTTAGAGTTGCAATAACATTTGAGAATTTTTTTTAGAGGTTGACTATATTAATTCTCTGCAGCAGGGTCAAGTGAAATTTTTCCAAAACATTTTGGCCCACAAGTTTGGGATAACTCTGAGAAAATTAGCCGCAGAATCAAAAGTGCAGTGGAACTGGAAACAACCTTTTGACTTTTAGTTATTTTATATTTGAATCTTTGGAAATTGGCTTCATCAAAACAACTCTTGTCAAGTTTATTTTTTTTAATAAAAATTTATCTAAATATAAATCACATTAAATTAATTAATTTTTATTCCAACTTCAGTTTCAACATACAAAAGTTGCTAACATTAATCATACAAGCCTTGTATGCCCCCTTTGTAAAATCGTTGAATTGCTGTGTTATCTGGTTTATTTATAACTTACAATTTGGACCACATGCGCATCTTAGAAAAGTCATGAATTTATTTTTTAAAAAGTTAAATATTTCTTAAAATAAATGAGAAAAGAAATGTAAATTATGCATTTCTTTTATGTTGGGCATGTGAATAATTGTAATTCTAGATTTTAATAAATAAATTATAGTTAGGAAATATGAAATTAATTCTTTTCAGGCAACTTATTGGGTTAGATTGAGTAAACTAATTATATGTGACATGTCAAAAATAAATTCAATTCAATTCATAATCTTTTTATCATTTTTTGAAAAATTAATCTGCAAGTTCCTATAAATTTTATTTAATCAGGTCTCTTCAATTTTTTTTCTTTTCACAAATCTCTATAATTTCACCTTCTTTTTAGTAAGATATCTATAGTATTTTTTACTAGATCCTTAAAACTTTATCTTATTTTTAATTAGGCCCCCAATTTTTTTATCCGTCACCTAAAACTATAGGGACATAATTAAAATTGAGCAAAATTATAAAAATTTGATTAAAAAAACTACATGAAACTTATTTAGGTAAAACTGTAAGAAATTGATTAAAAGATCAAGTGAAACTACATGGACATTTTCCTCTTAGTTTTTAGTTAAGCTTGTAGTTTTTTTTTTTTTTTGGGTACATACGGTAAGATCTTTCATGACCTTTTATACGCTAACAATTGAGCTGATATTGATGAAAATAAGATTCCTTATTTGTGCGAATGGCAAGAATTTTGTAGAACTAAGAGAAGGACAAGATTATTGTGTTTACCAAACAAAGCATATTGAAGTATCATTATTTTTCATAACATCGCTAATTACAATAGTTCCAATGATATACAAAAAATTTATAACACTATATTGCACTTTCAGTCCATCATCATCAAGTATTGTTGCCTGAGCCAATTTCTGCCTTTCATTGGCTTATGATCATTGCTCTTTAACTTCGATACATGCATCAAAGGCGTGGCGGATCCACTTAACTTTCCTTGATTAGCCATTTCCTTTTAAATGAAGAGCAGAGCTTCCTTTGGCCTCTCCAGAAGAGACAAGACTGTTGTGGCAATATGTTTCGATGAAAGGCCTGCTTCATCAAGCTGATCCTGGGGTGATCCATGATCGAGGTATCGATCAGGAAGCATCATCGCTCTCCACTGCAACCAAAAGTTCAGAACAGAAAATTAGACTGGAAAAAAAATTCTTGGTGATATGGTAAAGGAAGAGTGATATGAGGAAGAACTATTATTATTATTATTACCTTCAGGGGTCCATCTAGTAAACCAGCCAAGCTAAGGTATTGTGAAACATGAGATCCAAAACCTCCTATAGAACCCTCTTCCACTGTGATCAGAATTTCATGCTCCTTTGCTAGTCGCTTAACCAGATCAGTATCAAGAGGTTTGCAAAACCTAGCATCAGCAACTGTCACAGATACACCTTGTGCTTTTAGCAATTTTTCAGCTTGCAGGCATTGTTGAACCATTGACCCATATCCCAGAATTGCAACTCTGGTTCCTTCTGTCAGTATTCTTCCTTTTCCAATCTGCATAATGGAGGGGAAAAAAGGATGGTTATAGTTGGATTCCTTAAATGTTCAGTTGAATTAAGAGTGACCTGTGAGCTACTATTCTGCTAACCTCCAGTGGGGTTCCTTTGTTATCGGGTGGTAAAAGGGCTCCAATTCCATTTCCTCTTGGAAATCTAAAGCAGCTTGGTCTGTCATCTATTGCTGCTGCAGTTGCAACCATGTGCATCAGTTCAGCTTCATCAGAAGGAGCCATGACCACCATGTTAGGCAGGCAAGCCATGTAAGTGATATCAAACGCTCCACAATGAGTTGGTCCATCCGCACCAACCAATCCAGCTCTATCCATAGCAAAACGGACAGGTAGTTTCTGAAGATCTACGTCATGGATCACCTACACAAAAGTTATGAACCATGGTTCTGTGAGATTGCTATGAGAGTTTCTGTTACTAAAGTGAAGTGCTTCAGTTTTTGGCTCACCTGATCATATCCTCGTTGTAGGAAAGTTGAGTAGATGGCACAGAATGGTTTGAGACCCTCAGCAGCTAACCCAGCTGCAAATGTCACGGCGTGTTGCTCAGCAATACCCACATCAAAGCAGCGATCTGGGAATTTCTTCTGAAAATAATTCAAACCCGTCCCACCACCCATGGCTGCGTGAATAGCAACTATGTTCTTGTCTTGTTCGGCTTCCTTGATCAAAGATTCAGCAAAGTATTGGGTATAGGAAAGAGTGGAGGATTTTGACTTCAACTGTTTTCCTGTTTTTGGGTCAAACTTGACAACGCCTGAGAGAGAGGGAGAGAGAAAGAACATTAGCATCCTTCATTACCATGATCTATCGTTGCTATGTAAGATCATAAAACTAGATCAGAATTTTCAATCTCACCGTGCATTTTATCAGCTGCTGCTTCGGCCGGTGCATATCCCTTTCCTTTCTCTGTCACAATGTGTATCAGAACTGGACCCGGTGCAGGCATGGTTTTCACTTTCTGAAAAATGTTTACCAGATCTTCCACGTCATGACCGTCCACAGGGCCGATGTAGTACAAGCCTAGTTCCTCAAAAAGAGTTGACCCAGTAGCGCTGATCATCCCTCTTGCATACTCATCCATTTTTGCTGCAACTTCATATGTTTGCCCTCCTATCTGCTTCGTGATGCTCTGCACCAGACCAAATCACAGTCAAATCCCAGACCTTTGAAAGTTCAACATAAGCGCAAAAGTTGAAGAATTCATAGGTTGATTCTGTCAAAGCACACATGCATGCCTACCTATATGTACACAAACATGTTTATCCTTCATGTTCTAGGCATAGATCCAAGGATGAAAACTTACTTTTGCAGCTTCTCTGAGTTTGCGGAATTTGGTGCTGGCTTGAATCTTGCTTAAAGCACCACTGAGTGCTCCAACTGGGGTTGCGGGGCCATCAAGGGTAGCTGTTGGTAAGGAGACTTGCTTGTTGTCATTAAGAATAATGATGAGGTTAGAGTCAAGGAATCCTGCATTGTTCATGGCTTCGTAAGCTTGACCAGCAGTCATGGCCCCATCTCCAATCACCGAAATGATGTTATTATTCTTTCCCAAAATATCTCTTGCAATAGCCATCCCTGCCATATGAACATATAGTGGGGGGAAAAAACAGAGCATTAAGAACTTCTCTTATTTTTAATCCATTGGGCAAAAACTGTCTCTTAAGGTTTAAGAATCTCACCAAGACCAGCAGATATGCTTGTTGAACTATGTCCTGCCCCAAAAGCGTCATGAACACTTTCGTCCCTCTTAGGAAATCCAGCTAGCCCAGAAGTTTTCCTCAAGGTATGCATCTTTTGCCTTCGACCCGTGAGGATTTTGTGTGGGTACGCCTGCAAATTCATTGCCTTTTAGACCCTCTCATGGAAAACTAACACCATAAAATCATGGGAAACGTAGAAAGTATGAGACCAAATCATAATTTCAAGAAGAAGGAAGACGATGGAGACCTGGTGCCCAACATCCCATATAATTTTGTCATCAGGGGTGTTAAAAACATGATGCAGAGCCACAGCAAGGTCCACCACTCCTAAACTTGAGCTAAGATGGCCTCCAGTATTTGAAACAGAGTGCACAATATCTGCCCTCAGCTCAGCTGCGAGTTGTTCAAGCTCCTGACATATATGATTGAAAATTCTAAGTATTGTGAAGGGTAAAGACAAGAAATTATTATCAGTACAGCGATTTAAACAAATGGTTCACCTGTGTGGACAGATTCTTCATATGAGCAGGGTAATTGATAGTGTCCAGCAATGGTGTTGCTGGTTTCTGCCCTGAATAGTTAATCTTCCACCCATCAATATCTTTCCTTATCATCGTCCTCTCCTCCTCACCGAAGCTGTTTGCCAAAGACCTTACACAGAGCTGGAACATAGAGAACCACACACCATCATCAATCAACAACAAGAAGAAGAAGAAGAAGAATGGCAGCCATTGTTAAATGAAAAGGCTTTAGAAGAGAATTGTTATAACCCATAAAGAGATTATAAACAAAAGTAGTGCCTAGTCGGCTAACCTGCTTTCTGCCACCATGAATTGGTATAGGAGCCTTACGGCTTCGAGGGATTGTCTGGTTTGGCGTGATGAAGGACCCGCAAGATGCCATGATAGTAATGGTATTGGGGTGGAAGAGAGAAAAGGCAGAGCTTTGGCCTAGGCAGAGAGCATTTGCAATGTTTCATTGGAATCAGAGGCTGCTCCTCCGTATTTAAAGGGAAGAAATGGCAAAAAAAGTCCAAGACTCTTCCCTCCCTGCTTGCGGAACAATAATGCTCCCTCATATTATTCTTTACAGGTATAATTCATTTAAGGTTTGAAAGACCAAAATAGCCCTGAAATGAATTTAAAAAGTATAAAAAAAAATTTTTTTACTATTTTAAAAAAAAAACTGCCTGTCCTCTTACATTTTTAGTGCTCATTACACTAATGAATACTATAATATTTATTAAATTTTAACCATTCAAATTTAATATAAAAGGCAGAGATTTAATATTTAATATTTTTATTTTTTTAAAAAAAAATTAATAAACATATAATTCAAAATAAATATAATATCCTAATTATAAGTTTTTTTAAGAAATAATTTTTATTTAAAAATTACTCTTCTGGTCCTAAATATAAGACTCATTTTGTAGTATAAATTACACTTAAAAAAAAGTCTTATATCTAGGAGAATTGTCTGAAATTTTTAAATCTAGATTTAGATTTCACTGCAGTATGCAATATTATGGTGCTCGTGAATGAATCTGAAACAGGTTACCTCGCATCAGTCCTCTCCTCTCCTCTCCTCTCCACAACCATATCCAACGTGAAGAACCATGAAACACCAGCGTCCGGAAACATTGAACAAGATCGCACTAAGCATCGAATTGTCAAACCAGATCGCACTAAACATCGAAGACTTTCTGCCATTTAAAAAAAAAAGGAAAGAACAAGACCACCGCATCAAACAAGAGCTGGATCTAGAAAAATTGACCAAGAATGAGTTTTAAAAAAAAAAACCAAGAAGACAAAGAAGAAGTTCTGCAGCTGTAGTCGAACAACAATCAAAGATCTCAGTCTGAGTCACCGTCGGCCGATTTCATTGCATGTACTGGTATTGGCAAAGGTTTGGGCAAAAGAAAGAAGGAGTGTACGACGACAGTTTTGGAAGTGGTGGATTTCGCTTTCTGCTCTGGTGCTTCACGATTCTGAAGTTGTATTTTTAGGGCTTGTCGATTTCTTGACCAGTTCTTGCTTTGCGTTGCTGATGCTTTGCGTAGAGAGGGTGACGGCTATGGAGGCTGGGGACAGTGATCTTCACGGAGGCTGAAGCCGGTGACGACAATGGAAACGGTGCCGCTGCAGGAGGTGCCTGAGGAATGCCGGAAAAGTTCGAAAATGACAAAAATGTTACAAAAAATGGGGCCAAAATGATCTTTTCAAATCATTTTCATCTTGCAAATCTTTTCCTTTAATTTTTAATACAAGAAAATGGGAAATTTTTTTCAAATCTGTTAACTTATGGAGTAAAATTAAACACAAGTATAGAGGGACGAGATCTTTCACATAACATAACAAATAATAAACTAGGAAAAATAAGCTAGTTGAAGAGTTACTTTGGTCTTCAGATGTGAATTAATTTTAATATCTACATTATTGCATTTCCACATATTTAGAGGAATTTCCATTCATTTGTTAGCTTTCATTTTAATATAAATTATTAAAAGTGATTTTTAAAAAAATAATAAATTTTCTTGACAAATAACTAATTTTATTAATATACCTAAAGTAATTATTTACCTCTTATATTTAAGATCCGAAACAATATCAGAGATTGAATTGTAACTGTATATTATGATTGATATTCATATAACAATCAAGTTTATTATTGCCCCTTTCTTTTCTTACTTAATTTGTTGACTATTTGAATCTTACGGTAAGACAAGGTTCACTGTATCTCTGAGAATTGAGGTTTATTCAATTAATCCCTCTATATATTTAATGCTTTTTATATCACAACTAAAAAATACATTGTTTCATATTTATAATTTAATTACTCGTTTGTTCCTTAATTAATACTAGATCTCAAGCATTGCACATAATATAGAGAAACAACTCGCACTCTCCTATTTTGTTATAAACATAACAGTTTATATATTAATGCTGATATTGCTTGTTTACATTGTTTCTTGTTGCATAAAGAATGGTGTTGAATTATTTTTTTTATTTTTAATATATATATTAGCTGGAAATTAGTGGAGATTCGTGATTATTTTTTTGGTTATTGAGGCATCTATTGTCTTGACTCTTGACTGTCCTTTTTGTGAATTATTAAAAAAATTATGTAACATTCAAAAGATCCATAATATAATAATAATTGTATTTAATTCCAAAAAAAAATAATTGTATCAGACCATACACAAAACATAATTATAATTATAATTATATTACGATAGATATTGCAAATAAAAGAAAATACTTAGATAGAGTTTCTCATATATATTGTGTTAAGTTTTCCAATTATATATAGCTATGCGTCTTTTTTTTACGTAAATTTATAATTAAATAATAATATTTTAAAAGTAGGACATGTATCTATGTGTAATTAGGGAATTCAATATAATAAAGAATTTTATTTAAGTATAGATGTTATATTTTGACAAGATGTGATAAATAAATATAGTTGCCGAAAAAAGATAATAAATATTACTTTTTTATGTTGGTGTCCATATATAGAAGGGAATCACAGGGGCGCGTGCGTTTATAAGGTCAGTGGTGTATAATCTTTGACCACGTGAATCTAGATCAGAATTTAAGTAAAATAACAAATGGAATCTACTTGAACAAACGAGGGGAAAAATAAAAAATTATTTATTATCAACTTTGTCAAAATTAAGGGCCATTTTGTCAAAAATTTCTGATTAAAATATATGGGATCATCATCCACCAATTAATGTGCAAACTATAAATAAAAGGATAATTCAAACTGAATATATCGTACTATATTGTCTTGTCTTGTCTTTATCATTTTTTTTTTTTAACCTTCGTGATTTCTTTGCTTATGCGTGTAATGTGCAAAATGCATGCAACCAATCAATCAATTAGTATTATAATCACCGGGGAAATTAGCATTAAAAAATTGTAATTAAGTTGAAACTTAAACAGTCAAATTATTCAAATATTTAACTCTTACATATATATATATATTGCATCGTAAATTAAAGGGAATGAACATACACAATATTGCTCGTATTGGAAGAAATCGATTGAGATTAACAATTCTGAAATCAATCAATAAAGGCATAATGGCCATCTAATAGTCATAATTTCTAGGGAGCGTCGTTATGAAGTTTTAAGTAGGAAACATTTATTAAAAAGTTTTGATGATAACATAACAACTTGCAATGACGGGCCTCATGATAAAAAATCACAACTGTTTTCTTATCATTGGAATCTACTAGTTTTTTTTTTTTTGGATTTTATTCTTTCTATTTTCTAGGTTAAATCAAACTGTAAAGGCTCTCACATATATATGTTATATTATGTTGACAATTATATTTAAGCAATATTGGATGTGTAGATCTCTCAAAGACATCTTTTGCATACATTAACCACGACAAGATTTAATCTTACTAAGTGTGCTCCATTATCTGGAGCCCATGATGTAATTATACTCTATTAATAACCAAATCTTTTGATATATTGTTAACCAGAATATCTTGTTCAATAAATTTTATTCAGCATTCTCTTCGGTTTTTCTCTATCCCTTTTTATATGACTTCATATTGTCTAGTCCATCCTTCCTTATTAGCACTTCTAATGGCCTTCTTATATATATAAATATATATATATATATATATATCAAAATTGCCTCAAACACCAATAGGGATTGGTCCGAGTGGTAAGCGGCTTGGTTCTGCTTAAGTGAGATCTCGAGTTCGATTTCTCATGGATGCAGAAAACCCCCGATGGGAGACTCACCCACCATACCCAGGTACGTGATGTGGGTTGGATCTAGACGTAGTTAGATCAAAGCTCTGGTGAACCGGACGTAGTTAGATCAAAGCTCTGGTGAACCGGGTGGGGAACCAAAAATAAAAAAAATCGCCTCAAACAGTTTTCTGCTATTTTCTTATTACTAGACACCATGCCGACAATTTTCATCATATATATTCATTATAAATCTTTTTTTTCCCTTGTGTCGCCACTCATCCATATTATCCTTTGCATAAACATGGGTTGAAATCTGACATTGTTATTAAATGGTCATGATCTTTTACTACTATACTTGGGGAAAAAATTAATCATATGTGAATGAGACTGTTTAGCTGCATGTGACTATAATACTTATTTCAAGATAATTTGTCTTCTTCAAAGAGCATAAACAAGACGGTCTTATCTTCAGATTCTTAACAACTTTTGAAATTCGAATAATAAAGGATTACACACACACACACACACAACAAAACCTATTATCTTCATAGCTGTTTTGGGCTATCTTTTTGTGTCTTTACAGTGGGATTTACTTGTTCCATCTCTTTATTCCAACTTAATTAGCTTGCACGTATTCCTGTGGGCGCTTGTGTGTTTGTATAAGATTCCGAATATAATATATTGAGGTTCTTAAGTAATCAAGTAATCAAGATGGACCCGCGTTCCCCTCCACCTTCTTCCAAAGGGGGACCCCCGGGGGGGGGGGGAGAGGAATTTTTGTATATTGTATATTGCATCGGCCCCCTAATAGAATTCGCGCGCGCGCGCACACACACACACAGAGCTTTGGCCTTGTTTGGTTTTTTATTTTGACAACAGCTTTTTGTTCTTAAAAAAATTTTAAAAAAATTTGTATGGTAATTTGTTTTTGGTTAAGGATTTTTTAAAACAAAAAAATCTATTTTTAAAAATAAAAAAACAATTTTTAGTGGTTTTCTTGTCTTTGTTTTTTGTATTTATTATTTTATATTTGAGAAAATTGAGACATTTTCTTCTCTGCTCATGACTTTTTTTTTTTCATTTAAGAACTTAAGTTTTAATCAAAACTTCACCTTCCAGTCTCAGTATATATTTTCAAATACAATTTTTTAGAACAATTATCTAAACCATTTTTTTTGGAAAATTTTTTTAAAAATAATTTTATAAAATTGTTTTGAGAACAAAAAAAAACACAATACAAAAAC